GGAATACTTGATTTCCTCTTTTAAACATTACTGCTAATAGGATGTTAAATTGTTATTTCGTATGAAATGAGGGGAAATTGGTTTATATTTATCCACGCATTGGAGTGTTATATACTAAACTCTATTTATTTTTGCTATGTGAGAATTTAAAATGTTCTCAATGATTATCAATTGTATTAGTGTTTATTTAGGGAGTAATAAATAAAAAAGATAAGAGGTAAACCTCCTTTTTAACTAATTTATTATTCTTGTATGATCAATTGTTAGGTACTCCTCTATCTGCTTCAAAATACAAGTCATTTCAACTTTTTTACAAGTATGTTTAGCATTTGAAAAATGATTGGTACACCCTCAATTCAATAAACTTAATAATATCTATCAGTTTAGTGATTAAAATTTACTTTTAAAAATTTTCTCGCCTTAAATTAAAATTTAAAAATATTAGTTTCTTAATAATTAAACCAATGAATAGTATTAGATGTGTTGAATCAAAATGTATACCAATAATTATCCTTAATATTTATTTATAGTATATAGATAATAATTGAGATCTTCTTTGTTTTTATACATAATTTTTATTGAATAGTTTTATTTGATTAAAAAAAAATTAAGAATAGTGTTTATTCACTTTATCCCCTAAAAGATAGAAGGAAAATTAAATTATCTAAAAGTAAGTCATTTCAATAAACTCATATAGAAAAAAACTAAAATACCTTATTTTTAAAACATGAATTATAGTTTTTTTTTGTCACTTTCTATAGTATTTTATTAAAACGATATAATTTTGATATAATTTCTCTCTTAATCTTTAAGAATAAAGATAAATTAGTACTAATTCCAAAAATTTTAGTTATTATTCATATAATATATTAAATTTTATATTTTAGATAGAAAAAGTATATAATTAAATCTCACATCAATTAAGTTTGACCACTTGATTTGTCGATTTGAATTTAAACATGGTTTCTATACGAAGAAGATAAGCATATATCCCGTTCAGATTCCCGTCTTCTCTGCCATCTCCCTCTCCCTCGAGTAAATCAATTGCTTCCATATATAATTCTCTTTCCCATCCCAATCTTAAAAAGGTTGGACACAACACCAAAAAGAGAGTAAATTAAAGATGAAGAACGAAAAGAAGAGATAAAGAAAGAAAGACAAATCTCAAATGGTGTGTTCACCACTTTACTCACAAGCATTACAAAATAATTATATATGATTTAACACCTAAAGTTCAAAGACAAATTAATGGAAGTTTTTTTTTTTTTTTTTTTTTTGAATCATCTCTGATGAAAAAGTTGATGAAGATAGATAAACTTAAGGTCTTGTAAGTTTGCATGTGTATGGGATGTCTTGATTGACCAGAAAATTATTTTCTATCCCTATAATTGAGAAAATGACGTAAGGAAAGTTTAAGACAACTTTAACAACAAACTACTCATTCCACTAACCTTGGGTTTTTGCATTCTTTGGAAACCTATAACAAAGTATATAAAATTAACAACAAACTAATTAATTTCCTTGTTTGCTTCCCCACAAACCTGGGTGAGTAGGAACTTTTCCTTCTCCTTTTAAGCATATAATGGTACAAGATTTCTCTCAGTCTTGAGAAATTAGGCTAATAATTAATTATAGCTTATTTGTTTAGAAATTCTTGAGAGTAAGTAATGAGTTACACTAGTGTCATTTAATCATGACTCAAATATAAAATTAGAGATTAGTGTTTATTAGTTGCTGTTGTAAAAAAATTAAATAGAAAAACATTTAAAATTATGTTGTTTTAATAAAATATCATAAGAGAAAATTAAAACAGCCTTATTTTTACTTTCAAAATAAGAAATTTTTAGTCTTTTTTTAATAAAATTTTATTAAAATAATGTAATTTTGAAATATATTTTCACTTAACTTTTTGTAAGTATGGCTGATAAACATTTTCTTCATAAAATTGTACTTATTATTTGATTTTGAAATAGTAATGGGCTACCTAGCTATCCTTGAGAGAAATAATAATCTCAATTAAGTTAAACCCCCCCCCCCCCCCCCTCCCCACTCCTCCAAGACTAGGAAAACATTCCATCTAATGTTATTAATTTTTGCATAAAGCCATCATTATCGTAAGTTAAACCAGCGCTTTCAAGATGCAACATGTAGCACGTGCTACATGAAAAAAGATGTATCCCAGAAATATGCATGATTAATTAGCACTTCTTCTAACCTGTAAGTTAATTTTTCTGGTATGGTATACTTATTAAAAGCTCTTGCTTTAATTTCAAAAATATTAATTCTGGTATATATTAAAAAGAGAACAGTATTTTTTACTCTAACCTTGTAAAAACAATTAGGAGTCCTCATTAAACAATGTTGTTTCAAATAAATACATACAGAAAATTGTTAAGAGAGAAAGATAAAGGCTTGAAACTAATAAGTTCTAACATAAAGGCTTAATTAAGTTGAGAACTCCTATGAGTTATGCCATGCAAGAGGGTGTCTCTCATATTGTGTAACTTAAAATAAAATAAAATAAAAAACCTTTTGAACCAATATATGTCTTATAGTAATTTATAAATTAATTTTTATACAAATAATGAGTTAATTAAATGCCTACAAAAATTGGGAAATAAAAATGCATTAAATAGTGCAACATATATATACCACTACTTCATACTAAATATCCCCACACCATATCCAACTAGGTAAATAATAAATTAAATTTCAAAAAAAAAAAAAAAAGTGGTAGACAAAAAGAAGGCAATGCAAGAGGAAAATCTGTATGGTATTTTGAAAAAGCAAAAGACATTAGGAAAATCCATAATTAATACCCTAAAGGTAACGTCATCTTTGAGCCCACCCCTAATTGGGGGAATTTGATTAATTAGATTAGTTGATCCCACCACGATGGTAAAAGTGATATTCATTCTCTCTCTTTCTCTTTCTTTCTTCCATGCATGAGCTGAGACTAAGCTCTCTTTTTGAGCACTAAAATGTACAGTCCACAGTATACCCCCAAGAAAGCTTCTAGGCGAAGAAAAACTTCCTCTCCCCACTACTAAAAACCCTAAAAATTATAATAAAACAAAAAGGAAGATGAAGAGAATAAGATGAGCTAGCTGAATAAACAAAAGAGAGGCCTCATCCCACCCCTACCTTTCTTTCTTTCCTCTCCTCCCTTTAATTCTCTTTTCTCCTCTCTCTGGTATTCCTTTGGTGTGATTCTCTCCACCTTATTTTCCTTTCTTAAAGACCCATCAAACTTTATAAAAGAAAAGCTAAAAACCATGGTTTTCTCTTCTCTTCCAGTCTATTTAGATCCTCCCAACTGGCAGCAGGTATGGTTTTTTTTCTTCATCATCGATTTCGAATTCTATCCTCCCCAAATAAAGCAAAATTCAAAAGATAAATATTCCTATTCTCCTCCTTTCTCATCTTTTTTCTTGAATATACTTGCTTATATATGATTTTTATTAATAGCTTTGGATTGTCAATTTTAGCAGCATCAACAAGGAGGCAGTGGTGATCAAAACCCACAACTTCCACCTCTTCCTCCGCCTGTTCCGGCCCCTGCTCATGTTGGTGCTGGCGGTGGTGGCTCGATCAGGCCGCCCTCCATGGCTGATCGAGCCAGATTAGCTAATATACCGCAGCCTGAAGGACCCCTAAAGTGTCCCAGGTGTGAATCCACCAACACTAAGTTTTGCTACTTCAATAACTACAGTCTCTCGCAGCCACGCCACTTTTGCAAGACATGTCGGCGGTACTGGACCAGAGGCGGTGCTCTACGGAGCGTTCCCGTAGGTGGAGGCTGTCGCAGAAACAAGAAAAGCAAAAGCAACAGCTCAAAGTCATCTCTGGCGGCCTCCAGTTCCACTTCTTCCAGTGCAGTTTCCTCCGATGTTTCCGGAAGTTTGCTACAACAAACTCCTCATTTACCCTTCATGGCCTCTTTACCTAGTCTCTCACAGTATGGTTTGGGGAACATTGGGTTAAACTTCAGTGGACTTAATGGACAAATCGGAGGAACAACTGCGACGGCTGTTCCTGGACAGGCTGATTTGGGGTTTCAGATAACAAACTCAGGAGGAGTTCAGCAGTTTCCTTTCTTTGAGCCACCAACTGGGTTATACCCTTATTCTGGTGCTGAGGGAATAGAAGGATCAACATCCGTGGCTGGAGAAAGCCAGCTCCGATCAGTAGCTCTGAGCTCTAGGGTTTCTCAGCTGGCTCCAGTGAAAACGGAAGACAATAACCAAGGAGGGTTGAATTTATCTAGAGCAGTATTGGGTGTTCCAGAGAATAATAATAATCAGTTCTGGGGAGGAAATCCTTGGACGATGACTACTGATTTATCCGGTCTCAACTCTTCCACCACTAACAACCATCTCTTATAGTTGATATATTCTCTCTGGAAGGTTCAGTAGTACGTATCCATCAGAACAACAAAATAACGTCGTATGTTTGATATGTCATGCGCTTGAACCTCGCAAGTTCCAAAGAGTAAGGAAAAGTTGTCTGATCTTGATCTGTGGAAGAACTAAAGAATGGTAGAAGATACTATAAAATTAGTCTTTTCATATATATGTTTTTTCTTGTTGGGGGGGTGTTTGGATCTGTGTCTTTTGGTTTCATGTATTGAACAGATTTGTCTGTCTATTGTGTGTGTGTGTGTGTGTGAAGTTCTATGGGATCTCTTGTTGTCTGACATAATAATCTAATTCTGCAGATGAGATACATCCTTGATTTCAGCTAACATTTTTTTGTCATGTCTCCTTCATATATCATGCATTGCAGCACCGGTGCCTCAGTGGTAGTACGTACAGCAGGTTTTTCATCATATGTGACACAGCAAGAGAGATAAGTTTCTTTCTGCTCAGAATATGTTAGGACTGGAAATTTTTGCAAACTCATGCTTAATTAATTAATTAATTAATTATATTCAAATCCCTACTGAAACTTAATCAACCACCTTTCCTTTAAATCAAACTCAGCATGAATACTTAGCTCAGTTACCTGCTTAGATACGAAGTTAAACTCTTATTTATAATTGGTCAATTATTGTTCATGAATGGATTCTTGATGAGTTATGTCTGATGACAGTCTGTTTCTCCTTCTCTGCGGGCTAAAAAAGATGATGTTTTCACTTTGCATGTTTCATCTGGGGCAGTCACTGATGAAGGGAAAGTACTCGGTTCCATTTCCATACCTTCCCCATTCTTCTCTGCATTTGGAAGCTTTAATAAAGCTTCTTGTCTCACATTTTTTAGACCGGCCAGTCATCTAGGGCTCAGAGTAGTCAATTTTTTTTTTTTCAATACTACTATGCCTCGCGATAACGTTCACATGAGTCTTGGAGACATAGAGAGATGGTTATAGGATGGATTTAATGATTTCGTAATTATAAGAATGATGAGATAGGACATGGTACTGACTTGTTTGGGTACTGAAAGAAAGGCAACAAACCCTTAAGAAAACGCCAAAAATCCCACTAAAAACCATGCAATTCCCATCATTTTTTTTCAACCAAAAAGACCCCTTAGGTTTCAAGCATCCTAGACATGGGGTCAAAAAAGAAGAAACCAAGACCTCAATTTTCAACTTCTACCTTGGTTTTTTTAGTATTCTCTTTCTTTTCGGGTATGTGAGTTTATGTCCATGGTCATTGTCTCCTTCAAATTTTTTATCTACAAAAAAGAAAAAATATATGTGAAAATTTTGGATTAATTTAAGATTATAGATGCTGTAGTAGATAAAAAGTACTCCTATACAATATAAATAAGAATTAAAGTCGCAGGCAAAAGGAAACGAGAGAAGGTTTGCTTTTTGAATGGACCAAGAACGAATAAAGCAATCAAATTACGGTTACGCACCCGATAAAAAAATCTCTCTTCATGAGAGTCCATAACGGACTCTCATGAGTCGACGATGGAAAGGAAACAGTTACTTTGATAAACGAAAATGAACCAACTGGAAAGGAAAAGAGGTGTATGGAGAATAGCAATTAAAGGAAGAAGAAAAGAGCTCGGAATCCCAAGCTTCTCTTTGTGATTATTGAATTTTTTTCAATCTTTGATTAAATTGATATTTTATTAACTACTTTTTTAATCATGTTTCAAATTGTCATCATTTAATATGACATCTTTGCACCAAAATTCCAAGCTATATATGTATTTCTTTTCTTTATTTTTGGCCAACAAGTTATGTATTTCCTCAACCCAGCTAGCTAGCTTGTTCATTTTCATGACCCACTTCTTGATAGGTGTGAAATGAACGTGTTTTTTTTGGCCGTGTGAAAGTAGCATATGTTGGATTCCAGCCTTCGATCGCTTTTTAGAGTCTTCATTCTTCCTGATTCTTTCTAATCTCTACAATTCACACTAATTTTCATGATCTTCAAATTTTATGCTTTTTAACTGAGTAAAAACTAGCTAGCTAGCATGCATTTTGCTTTTGCTTTTCACTTTTTATAAAAGGAAAGAGTAAGAAGATTGTGTTTGTTTTGGGTTTAGAAATGTAATGATTCATTAGGGTTAATTAGGGCTTCAAAAATTAAAATACAAGAGCCAATTACATTGTAAAAAACTTCTATCTTAATTGTTGTGCTTTTTTTCCCTTTTTCTGGTGGGGAGGAGAGGATGGTTGTGCATAATTTCTTAATTGAATTATATATATGATATAAGAGGAAGCATATATATATATATATATGATATAAGAGGAAGCATATATATATATATATATATGTTCAAGAGTGGTCCATACACTCATCCATATATTGGTTTGGATTGCTTGGTTAACTAGGGTGGTCCGACTTACCCAAAAAAAAACTACTAGGGTGGTCCGATCAATGGCAAAGGAATCCCATATGTGAAGAAGCCCCTCGAAGAGAGTGGCACATATAAAGTTGATGCCAAGCAGGAACCAGGAATTGATGCAATCTTTAATTTCCTAAACGAGCCGAACCCACCCAAAAATCTAATTCGATCGGTTTAATTTGTTCAGTCATGCCACACATTTGGGTGGGTTCAATTCCTTAAAATACTAGTAAATCGGTTTAAGCCAAACCTCTCAATCTAATGTCTTCAATTCTGAAAAAAGTTTAATTGCCGAATGATATTGCGTTTTTTATTTTTTAGTAATGAAAACTAAAAATTAAACCTTAAACATGTAATTAAGAATATAAATAACTTTACATAAACCATATGACTGATGGTAATATTGTGTTTACTTGTACAAGGAGCTGATATAATCATACTGGTAAAGCTAGTGTCTTTGTTTTGGAAACATCTCTCCACTAAAAAAAGAGGATGATTACAGTAATAAATGTTACAATGGGACAATTTCACATACATCTAAGGTACAACTTTGGCTCTTTTCTCTTCCTTCTCTTTCTTTTAAAGCCTTTTGATGGTTCTAGAAATTACATATCCATCCATACAATCAAATGAATAACTTACGTATTGGAGAAGGTGATCTTCCACCTCCCCTTCTGAAGCAAAAGCTGCCTCCTTAAATGCAAAAAACGAAACAAGGTAACCAAAGAAAGAAACAAAAACAACCTCAGCTATCGACAGTATTTGCTGTGGAAGATGGCCGGGGCTGTTGGGTCTGAGGCTGTGACTGGGACTGGGATTGAGATTCAACTTGAGCCTCAGCCTGTGCCTGAGCCAGCTTTTGCTGCTCAATGAACCTGCTCATACGCTCAAGCAATTGAGCAGCTTTCCTCTTGCCCCTGTCCGTGCCATTCTGTGCCAAATCCACCAAAGGACCCATCACTCCTAATTCCTGAGCTTCTGCCAAATGTTGTTGAACTCCAGAACAAAGGTGCACCAAAACTGCAGCTGCATTTTCTTTATTTCTAGGAGATCCATTTCCAATGACATCTACCAAAACTGGTACTGCCTCTGCTGCTCCAATGGCTGTCTTCCCTTCTGGGTGGCTAGCAAGTATTGCTAATATGGCCAGTGCTTCATCCACCATTCCACCTCCAGGTTCTGTCAATAGACGCATTAGTGTTGGAACAACTCCAGCTCTGACTGCCTTACCCTTGTTCCCTAGATATATGCACAAGTTGAAGAGTGCCGTTGCTGCATCCTTTTTCCCCCTTTGTGTACCTTCGCTTAGCAGTGTAACCAGAGGTGGGATTGCTCCTGAAGCACCAATTGTCACCTTATTTTCATCCACAACTGAAAGACTGAAAAGAGTGGCCGCTGCATTCTCTCTGGCTTCCATGCTCCCTTTCTTAAGCACTTGAACTATACCAGGAACTGCTCCAGAGGATATGATACTCCCTTTGTTATCTTCACATATGGATAGGTTAAGAAGTGCAGTTACAGCATGCTCTTGAATTCGTGAGTCAGGTGTTGAAAGAAGTCCCACCAGGAGAGGGATTGCACCAGCTTCAGCAATTGCCACACGGTTATCTGCATTGCGCTTGGCAAGAAGCCGGATTTCACCTGCAGCTGATAGTTGGTCCTCTGGGTTGCCAGATGTGAGCTTGTGAAGGAGAGTCTCAATCTTGGCACGTTCAGCAGGTGACCGGGCAGATGTCATTTTACTGGGTCGAGAACTACTGGGTCTTTTGGGTGGTTCAATTCCATTTGTCTCACACCACTGAGCTATGAGACTTCGCAAAACATAATTGGGTGTGAGAGCAGTGCTGGTGAGTGCTTGTTGTGTCTTTGGACATGTCCCATGTCCTGCTTCCAGCCATTTTTCAATGCAGGACCGCTCATAAGTCTATAGCAGAGAAAGATTAAATCTGTTAAATAAAACATACACACAGGATTTTATACACAAGTCTTCAGCTCTACATATGTGGGACAATTGTTCAAAAGGTGTGTATCAGTACTTAAGGAGGTTCAGTAAAAAATGCATCCCCTTTATATAATACTAAATATACGTTTTGCATGTGAACAAGAAATTTTAATTCTTTCACGGATCTAATTGAAGAGCGCTTGACGAGAAAAACCATATTAGAGAAACTTTTTACCTAATTGATTTTGACATGACAGGACACAATTTAACAGACCAGCCTAATACCCTAAAAAAGTTATTTCCAAGTGCATATAACATATGGATGTCAGATAAGAGGAAACGGAACAGAAGAACGCCAGCAAATTCTGGTGTCACTAAAACCATAGATGACAAAAAACTAAGAGGAGTTAACACTAGTCCAACTGAGGTGGTTAACACCAGCAGAAAATCCATTAAGTGTACTGTATATACCTGCCCTGTTGAAACAATGACTGGATCCTTCATTAACTCCAAGGATATTGGACAGCGGAAATCATCAGGTATAACTGCGGCCTTGTGATTCCCACCCAAGGTAGCTTGTCCCCTGGTATTTGGAGGATGATTCTTTTCCCTAGCAGGAGCATCCATATCAGGGTATTCTGTTTGCACATAATCCTTAATTTTTTTCAACAAGTTTGACATCTTCTCAATGCTTTCCCCAGGGTCTCCACCAGTGGCAGAAACCATCTCATGCAGAGCTAGTGACTCTTGTGTGAGCTCTGCTATCCCGATTAATTGCAATTTTTCAGCCAATCTCCTTAATACAGCTGGATCTGTTGCTGAATCATTGCTTTTGTCATAAAGAGATATTAGGTCCTCATATAGCTCATCATCAGAAGGGTCAACCCTTCCTTTAGCTCTTCTGAACTGTGCTAAAACGAGCTCAACCTACACATGGAAATATTATGCATTTAAATTATGAAATATTCTGTGCCTTCTTAAACTCTCAAACTGAATGTTTTGAAGGAGCCAGATTTACTTTGAACACATCTTATTAAACTCGCTTTCAAATTTAAGATCTTCTTCCAAAATATATTGTCTTAAGCCATTGGTGTTTTACTTAAGGTCACTCTGTTTTGTGTCCATGATTCAAATGAAGAAAGAACAGTGTATTCTACTTCATTTTATATGTTTTATGAGAAATCCTTACCTGTTCTTTAACTTCATCTGATATGTCAAGATTCTGATAGGAAATTCCACTCAAAGCTTGTTCTAATTGGGCTGTCACTTCATGAAATTTATGCATAAGCTGCTCCCTCTCTAGGACCTATAACAGAATAAAAACAATTTAGAGGACTAAATCCCTACAAACTCATCTAGAGGAGCATCAAACTATAACTGTAACATAAAAAAGTAATCATAAAACATAGGCTACTCTAGGTTCAGAGGACTCGAATATCAATCATAAAACCAAGTTCAAGCCTTAAGTACAACATTCAACAGAGTGTTGCAGTCTTCAGTTTGAGTAAGTAACAGGTGAGCCACAAACTGCCAATGTGAAAAATATAAATAAATAAAGCTTCAGAATAAGTAGGCACTAGTTAACATAAACACAATCGCTCAAGTGCAAGATTTAACTAACATTATAATGGGTGGATACAAATTATTTTCCAACTGGAGTGAATACTTTATCATAATGAAGATCAACAGAACGGGGACTTTAGAACCAAGATAACATCCCTAGTGAACTTCTTCCCTTGCAAAGTCTTCAGACCAGAGATTGGGCACATGTCAGCTCATTTCTAAGTAGTGGCACTAAGGAAAAACATTATGGAAGAATGGCTTGTCCATTATTCTGATGGTGAAAATGCCAAAAGTAACTCATACAGAAATACCCCTCTATCTCAGTTTTAAGGGTTTCTAGAAAGCAGTAGAATAACAAAAAAAAAAACAAATTAGTATGATCCAAAGACCAACCCCAACCTTTCATAGTGTTATGGAGGGAAAAAAAAAAAACCTTGTTGATCGGTTCAGAAGAGGGAATCAGCTCGGAAGCCAACATGATCAGAATAGATTTGGAATCTTCTCCCATTTTATTCCACATGGATAGAAAAGTTAGTGTTTTATCCCATGGTAAACCACAGAACCAGAGCCAAGCATAAGAAACATAAAAATGAACAAAGAAAGACCTATTTAATTTAATATATCATGCTATAATCAGAATGGCAATAACCGTGGACACAAATCCACAAGTTCATCTTAAAGAATTTTTCAGATTCCAGAATCTAAACCATGGAAGGGACTCTCACAAAATTTAAGCTGTAAAATCATGTGGATATAAAGAACCCAAATCATCCTGTTATTAGTATGAGATTCTACTTTAGTCTTGTTGCTAACTTTTTAAATCAATACCCACCTAAAGTGTTTGTAACCATTCCTATAACCCCTTTGAAATCATAAAATCAAAGTTTAAATACACAGACTAATTAAAATACCTAGTTCTCAATTCCAAAAGAAATTGCATAAACTTAATAATTGTACTTTTTCCCGATTCAATCACATGAGATTTTTGGTAAAATGCAGCCAAACTCATACTAGAATATTTTCCACCCTCAATCCCATCTTATCCAACTGGTCCTGATTTTACCTATTTCAATAGAAAAGTTCCTCTCATTCTTTGTTTCAGTAACATCAATAGCTCAACCTTAAAATTGTATCGCCAGGAATAATTTAGGAAGGACGGAAGGACTGGAATAGTTGGATCATATTTCTCCATTTTCTCAGCAAACAAACAGATCCAAAAACAACGACAACATAGGGACACTAGAACACACATAGAAAGACAAATGCAAAACGGAAAACAGAATAATACTCACACACCAGATAAATCTTGCTTCCTTCACTGCCAAATCTGAGCAACTCCTTAGCAGAGAACAGAGCATCCTTCAAGGAAAACAGAGCTTTCGCAGTATCTTCGGGAATCGGCTCCTTGCTCTCTCGAATCTCCTCGAACATTGGTATCAACAGCTTCAACCTCCTGGCAAGATTGCAGTACTGCTTCTTGACCGTACATCGGTAATCCGTGATTGAAGCTATCTCGTTCACTGCATCGATCAGCTCCTCCACCAGAGTTCCTTTCTCTTCATCCATTCGAGGATTCAAGAACCTGGAATCAGATCTCACTGGAGGAACTCTGTTCAACGCTACCGGGGGATAGAGGTTGGCACCGGATGGAATTCTAGGCTAATTTTGGTAGTCAATAGAATGGAAGAGGAGAGTCGTCTCCACGAGAGAAGAAAGAGAAAAAGGACAGCGTTTTATTTGTGTGCGCCCATGAATAGTGGTATCCGTTGCACGGCTAAGTGAGCCGGCTTGATTAGCTGTTGAGTTGTCACTTGCACCTTAGCAATGAAAAAAGGCATTGAGGAGGCGCGATCAGCGCGCTGTTGATTTTTCGGTTAAGCGAGTACGGTGGATGAGTCGCCGCCACCACCTACAGTCGCAGTCAATTACGGTAACAATTTCTCTGATAGCTTCGGGTCCAAGAATATGAATTCAACAACCACGTCCAGAACAAAATTTCTGTAAATTTAAAAATACAAATAATTTTACTATTACATGATATCATTGATAATAACAAAGCTGTTAACTTTGACAAATACAAGGCACGAATTGGTTTCAGTTAAATTTAATTTTATTATTTAATGGATTGTTAAGCGTTAACCACATCCAATTTTGATAATGGTTACACTTGATCAAACCATTATCAAAATTCAATTCAATTCAATCTCAAGGATTTTTTTTATTTGCCGTAAAAACAGTAATCTGTTAATCTCAAGGAACTTTTTAACAAGTTAATTTACCTCATGGAAAATATTAAAACTATAATTTTTACACTTTTTAAGCACTTGATTTTCGAGTCATTTAAATTGATACAGGTTTACTCTCATTTGTTATCATGCAATGCTGATTATTATATATAAAAACTACATTGTGAAATAAAATTGTACGTGTAAATCAACTCTGTTCTCTTAATTAATATTTGGCTCGAAGTAGAACCATTAAAATGGGAGACCAAATTAAGACACATAGTCACATAGAGTATCTATTTGTTTCCCACCTTATTCTAAAATTTTTTTTTTTTTTTTTTTTTTTTGCTAATATCATAATAAAAAGATAATTCTTATAAAGTTTGATTTATAATATTGATGACTTATAGCTTACGGCTTGTATATTTGGTCCATGATACACTAATTCTAAAAATATAAAAATGGCACTCAATTTATTTTACTTTTAATAGTCTTAATTTAATTTTTTAATTTTTCAATTTATTTTACTTTTAATAGTCTTAATTTAATTTTTTAATTTTTTATTTATAAATTTTAAATATAAATTTAATATATATTTATAAACAATAATAAAAAAATTTTAACCATAAAAAATAAAAATAACTTTATGTAAAATTTTTAAAATTATTATTCAAATAAATTATTAAATTTTTATTTAAAATTTATTTTCAAACAATTAGAAAGTCAAACCATAACTATAAAAAAATAAACAGAGTGAGAACAAATTAGCCAGAGAAGTTTTGGACACTATTTTTCCGCTTTTGACCGGCAACCTAATTCTGATTCCTCTTTCTCTTTTGGTAGGCAACGATGGATAATGCAGCAAAAAACCATTCAACCAAAATGACGAAACACAAAAATTAAATCCTGTCGGAAATTACGTAGTGTGCGTAAATTCTTTAGTTTTTTTTTTTTTGGTTTCTCGTCTGGTATCCGGGGCTTCGCCCCCAATTAATCCGTATCGACCCGCGTGATGCACCGGGTTGTGGTAGAGAGGTCTCCCAACGGAAATTGTTGCGTACACAAGGTCTCGAACTCAAGATCTTGTTTAAGTTAGAACAAACCGCTTACCACTTGATCCAACCCCTCGTTGGTCGTAAATTCTTTAGCTTGGTCACAGCCTAAGAAGGGAATAATGAAATAAGCCAGCATGGCAGCATCCAATGCGTTAGAACAAAATGCTCGTCCAAAGAATGGACACTTGCCTAATCCAACATCCATTTTCCTTAGTTTTGCTTGGACAGTGCCACCGTGCCACCCTATCACACGCGTAAAATAGACAGCTCACATTTGTCTGTTACGGTTAAAAGCACTGGCTTATTATAACCTTGGACCTAAAACGAACATATAATGTATCAAAAAAGCGACTCATAAATAACATAATTTAATTTTAGGAAAATTAATGATTTAGAAATAAATTATTATTATTATTTTTATATAACTTTATATATTATTTA